AAAAAAAGAGAAAACATTAGCCAAAGCCCAACCAGTGGCTGCAGTTATCCCACAAACTGATTTACCGGCGCCGTCGACGACGGAGAGAGTGATAGAGATGGCTGCAACAAGCAGCTGTAGGACCACTACTTTCTTCCCCCTCTCCGCCCCAAAACCACCGCCGCCGCTGCAAAAATTCTCTCTGTCGCCCAAGCATTATCACCTCTGTTCTCACAGATGCTCAATTCCCTCTCTCGGCGTCAGCCAACCCCAAATTTCTCCACCACCGGCGCACATTAGAAATCTTCCTCCTCCGGCCGTGTCTTCGCCTGATACTTCCGTCGTCGAAGAAGAAGCAGAACAAAGTGGGACCCTCCTCGACGATGAGGTGCCTCTAGACTCCGCCTCCCTTCCTCCCCTCGGGTACGCCGTAGTCTCTCTCTCTCTCTCTCTCTCTCTCTCTCTCTCTCTCTATATATATATATATATATATCTATCTATCTTAACTTGGTATTGTTGGTTATGAGATTAGCTGCTTTTAGCTACTGATTTGTTTCAGCTATTTGAATCTGGGTATATTGCATTTTAGTTCAAGCTTAATTCAAGATGATGCCACAATTGGTTCGGTATATTGTGCCAGGATTGTAATTGGAAACCTTTACGTATAGTAAACTTTCGCTGTATATGATTTCTGTAGGGGATGTAAAGCCTGCGGTAGGGAAGATATTGAAAGGGGTTGTAATGGTGAAGGAAGGATTCAAGGTGGGATAGCCACAATCCCGGGCTTTGGTTGGTGGCCCATTAAGGCTTATCGTCCTTGTCCCGCTTATGTGGCGTCAGGTGGTAGGTACAGACGAACGGGGCAGAGCATGGACGAGGTTGTCTCCGGAGAAGTAAAGAGGGGAACGAGTGGTGGGGCTTGATCGAGGTATATTCGTGTTGCTTTTATTAGTCACTGTAAGTTTGACAAGATTTGTACCTCAAGAAATGTCTAAGGCATTGTGGGCAGAGAAAGTCTTGATAATTAGCTTTGTATATGATGGAGCTTTCTAATGTTGCATTAGAAAAGCTGAAATAGTGAAAGAGCTCTTTTTATCTTGGAATTTGGTGTTTGAAAATGCAGCAAAGTTATGGATACTTGGCTTTACTTAATGTGAAATTGGAAGAGTAAATGTCTAAAACAGTGACATTATTTGACGATTTTGGTGTGATCCTTTTTATTGCACGAGTCATTGTGCCTGTTCTCTGTGTGTGTGTGTGTCTGTGTCTGTGTGTGTGTGTCTTTTCTTTCTAATTATTGGTAGTATGCTTATGATGTAAACAAGTAATAAAGGAATACTAGCCATCATCTACTTATCGTGTTGTTTTTTCTTTTCCTGAGCGAAGGATTACTTGTTTGTTACCACTCATACAAAAATGTTCAATCAAATTCTCATCTACTTTATCCAATGAAAATTTTCAGCTAGAAAGAAGTAAAGTGAAAGATCAAGGTAACTGGATTAGGTCGCGTGTCTTCGTCGACTTGAATATATCCAATGAATATTATTGGGAAATGCTGAAGCGTTCGTTCAGCTATATCCGGCACATGGCTTTCTTACATGTAAGTTATTCGTCTATTGAACCACATCTTTTGTGCTTCTCTATATTCTTTCTTGTTATCACGCGATTTTGTTCTATTAATGCTTTACGAGATCACATTGTCCAGTGAAAATCCTTGTTAAAGACCCAGAATCCTACATTTTGCAAGAAAGTACAATATTTTGTACCTTTTTCAGCTTTTCTTGCTTGATTTTTTTAGATATTTCTTACGGTTTCTTAATTATGATGAAATGGATCGATTGAAAAATTGCGATTAGTGTGAGAATCGAGAGCTCTGCTAAGATACATTCATCATATCTGTGTTTCTCCAAATGATAATAGACTACTAAAACACTTATCAATTATTTCCACTTATGTGATTGATTAAAATTTCAAATCCAGCCCCCTAACTTCCAAATGGAGCCAATTTTCATTTACATTTTCCTTGATGTGACATTTTTTCTCAACGGTCTCACTGCCCTTCAAGTAGAAGTACCAGTTCTAGATTAAAAAATTTTAAAGACCCAATTAAGACTTAATATGTGCTGCCTAACATATTCAGTAGCAGTTATGGGACAATTAGCCGGTTTTACGTCTGTCTTTTTTCCTTGTCAGTAATCATTTTAAGGAAAAAGAGGAAAGGAAAAAATATTTGGTAAAGTACATATAAAGTTATAAACATATAAATCCAAGCTCCTATTTTTATGGATATGCAAGTGCTAGCACATCATGTAATCCCATATAAAACAATACTTGTGCAGCATAGTTTGTGCAGAGAATTATTACTCTTTTTTCTTTATTTTTCCTCTGAGAAAAGTTGTGAAAAAACACAATTTTCAACAACTCATAGAAAACCACTTCAAAGTTCAAACTATCCACCGCATAACCGGCCGGAAAACCCATCATCAGAAATGGCTCCGGCCAATATGCATTGGCTGATCGCTCAAACGAGCACATTTATACGAAACGGTCTCACCCCAAGAACTCGAACTCTTCCCTCTAACGGGAGTCGAGTTTGCTGCATACCTCATCCTCTCGATCAAGGCCTCTGTGTTCACATCCTCCGACAAAATCAAACTCAAATCCTTCTGATCGATCACTAATCTCACTTTCCAAACGCCGTCTCGTGGTGGCGGAAGCACCTCCACAGTCGATTTTCTCCACTTGGAGTCCGCTTTTCCGGCGAAACCTTCGAACGTAGTTTTGCTGAGTGGGTATTCCGGTGAAGTGTCTGTGATTGCTCTCATTGAACAATTTCCCATTTTTTTTTTTTGGTGTGTGTTAGAGAGAATGTACTACTTACTAACTAGTAACTGTGTGAGTTTTGTGTGTTTGGTGGGTGTATTTATGGGGGAAGTTCTTGGCAAGGATTGTCAAAGAGTCACGGATGTTCATGCGAGTGGGATGATGATATTATTCCTCTTTAGGGGCATATATTTATTGCAAAAAATGCATTTTTGGTTGTTTTTATTAATTAGTAGACTGCATTTGGTGGACTATAGACATCAAAATTTTATTCCTAGAATATATATGGTGAGATAAGGAAATAAAGTCAAGCTACCAACCTGCCATGCTCACGGGCTCTTTAATTTCAGATAAGGTTTTACTATTTTGAAGGAATTGCAATACTTTTCATAGGAACCGTCGTGAATAGTTGATCTAACGGTTACAAACTCTGACGGAATGATTTTGTAATGGGACCGTAGAATCTCCATTTAAGTTATATAATACAAAATGTTAAAAGTGACAACATAAAAATATTTAAACTTGATGCGCGAACCGGTTTTTTGCCCATGAACCGGCTTTGAAGACTTGCAAAAAGCTTCAAAAATGGTTCTTTGTGTAAACGCTTCGATACTTACGTCAACTTTATAACATTAGATTCATTTTTCGTATGCCAAGGAAACTCGTTAAAGGATTTCATCCTCTGAAATCTTGTACCATCCTTAGACGAATTATATCATATTATAGTCCATGATGCTTCAAACTATCAATATCTGAACATAATCAGATCACTCTGAGAACCTTATCTCGAACCTTTTCTAAACCCACTGCATCAGTAAATGATACCAATCTCAATAGGCAAAATTCGAACCTTAGAACCGATTTGTCGAGCTACTGTCCAGACCGACCTCTCTACTCTAAACCAAGAACCGAGCTAACTCGAATGGCTAAATCAAAAATACTTCTTACAGTAGCCATCAAATGACCTATGCCCATGTGGAGTCAGGTCCCTCACTTGTGAAAAATGTCAGTTTAACAATAATTCAAATAATTATTAATTTATCCTATTTTTACTTGATGAGAAACCAAAAGGAAAATAATGGCATCCACAAGATGACACGAATTCTATTTTATAATAAAGCAACTCTTCAAGCAACGACAGCCAAAGACCAAAGAGGCTGCGGCCCGTGACATAGCTTCACACATTCTTACGTTATATCCTTTAAATCCATATTAATAGATGACAATTCATTGTCTACTTCAATTCCTTATGAATATATATGGTTGTTACGAAGTTGGCAAAGGCATATTATATTGTTCATATATTCTCTTTGGGCGATCACAAGTTATGCTTTTAACCATTAAATGGTTACAAAGTCATAATTTCTAAATAAAATGCACACACACACATATATATATAATGAATTGTCATGTTTTTATTTATATTATTTTTTATATTGTGATATTTTACTGGTCAACCATTAAACTTGATATATATATTGCGTGTGTGGTTGAATTCAAGTGAAAAAGATGCTCAGTAAAAGAAATAAGAATACATTGTCGTTATTAGATTGGATGATCTCATTACTAAAAAAACAAAGTTATACCTTCATTATAAGGGCAATGTGATAATACTC